TTATTGACAAGACTGTCTTGTTTATAAAATCATACTGCCTGCTGGGTATGAAGGAATACATGTCAGGAGTGTTGCAATTTGGCATATAGTATTAAGTGCCCAAATCATGTGCGTATAAAAAAAACCAGACTTGTAATTACTCGACTGAGAATAGTCAAAATAAAATTCAAAATGGCAACACACTTTACAAACAGACAATAGTGCGAGATTTGCGCATGTGTTGCTTGTTGGAAAGTTGGAACTGCAAACGTTGTGAAATCAAATTTTGACAAATGCATGCATTGGGAAGTTTGAAATGAGAAATCGAATTTTGACAAATGAATCTTTGAAAAAACCTATTCACCTGTCCCATGTTATTCCCAACATCTCTCTGATTGCGACATGCTGACCTTGACTGGTTGACCTGAGATCTTGTTTCACCACAAAACTCGGTAGGTTTAAGTTATCCCACACTATAATCAAGAATTCCAAGGAGTCATCTGAGATAGCGGATCTAAGAGACAAGCTACAACGCACTTTACGTTGGATGAAACTTAACAACATCACTCTTGTCAGGGCTGACAAAACTAAATCCATGGCTCTCATGAAGCGTGACACCTATGAAAGAGGCCTACACAAATACTTAACACTTACCCATTGCGATAGGACTGACGAGGGTTGTATAGATAGGCTGCATTCCAGAGTGAAATGGTTCGCCGGTTCCGGTCTCACTAAACGCTTGACACTTGGTAGCTTAATGGTTGACTCCCCAGATGTCCCTAAATTGTTTGCCTTCGCAAAAACGCATAAACCGGGCCAACAACTCCGCCCAGTCGTGGACAAGGCAAGAGCACCTACACAGAAGTTGGAGAAAGCAGTACATACTCTTCTCGCTCCACAATTGGAGGGCTACCAGTACAATATCGCTAGCCCGGTGGAGCTCCTAACGCAATTGAAAGAGATCACATCCTACCGGTACGTAACAGTTTTGGACTTTAAGTCCCTATACCCATCCATTGAGCTCCCTCCCACTTTCTGTGCACTAAGGGACATTTTGTTTCGTATTGTCGGGGATAATACGTTACACAACCAAGTACTTGAACTGGCGCATTTGATATGTTATAATTCTGTGTTCCAATTCAATGGTGAGGTCTACACACAAGGCAGAGGGGTCCCCATGGGCAGCCCGGTTTCAGGGGACCTATGTGAAATGGCTGTCTGTCAGTTGGAGAACAACATCTTCCCACAATTCCTCCATAACATCAAATTATATAGGAGATATATTGACAACATCATTATTTTTTGGGAAAATGTGCCTGACATAACAACCTTAGTAGACACTTTTAATAATAACCCGTATGGGTTGACGCTTGAATTGGAACAATCTGACACCACCGAGGTCCATTTCCTGGATATAAGTATTAGGTTAGAGAAAGATGGCATCCACACTGCGGTGTATCATAAACCAGGCTCTAAGTCTTCGTACATCCCGGTAGGATCTTGCGATCCGGTACCCTACAAGACTGCGGCATAAAAAGCCTTAATCAGAAGAGCCTTCACACATTCTTCTAACATACAGGCTCATGATAAAGAGCTAGCGTATATAATGCGAGTATCCGCGGAACATGGTTATCGCAAAGCCATACGTAAGATGATAAAGAATTATAGCCGGATGTATGCAGTTAACGAAAGGTTGGTTGACTGGCACAATGAGAGATCGGAAGATCCGTAAGACATGGAACGGATACCCATCACCTTTAACCCATATGTAAGAGCTATATACGATAGGATCGCCAAGAAGCGCCAAATAAGTATTGCTTACAGGAGGTGTCCTACTATTTTTAACATCTTAACGAATGGGAAGGACCCTCCTAACCCCAACAGAAGACCGGAAGTCTATAGTGTCCTTTTGAGAGTTAATAGATTCAATAAGGACTTAGTATATATAGGCTCTACTAAAAGATCCATAGGTGTCAGAATGCAGGAACATCAGGCAGACATTCGTCACGGAAGAACAAGCACGGCCCTCACAACATACGCAACAGACCCGGGCATAGTTGCTGACTTTACTAGGGCCAATCTCCTCCTCGGTGCACCTCCCAATGATCATCTCAAATGGTTAGAGGCAATGCACATCTTTAAATCCTCTATTGAAACCACGTGCATAAATTATAAAGAGGAGATGCTTTTGTCGTTGGCCTGGCAAGAGTTGATACATAGCACGCTTTAACCGCTCGTTATAACTGAGAAGGCAGACATGTCACGCATGCGCATCAGATAATTTTATAGCACTGGTCGAACTCAAGAACGATTTTATTTGAACATCACTCGTTAATGGCTTCCGTTAACGACATTCGTTAAATTCGAACGGCATGCTCGACATAGAATTTTAAAAGAACTATTCAATCGCAGGAACAAAATTATTGGAACAACATTCGTCAATCGAATTTACGAGCTAAAACCTGATGAAGAGCCCAGAAGGGGTTCAAAAACATTTGTTTTTTATGTTTAATCGATCGTTCCACACCGTAAATTGGTTCAGTGTTTGTGTTTAATTAACTGTCCTTTAAAATTATTGTTTTGGAGAATTTTTCTTACACAGGTACAAAATTGTGTGATATAATTGGTATTGTTTGGGTTCTGCAGAATTGAATGGTTTGAATTTGTAAAATGAAAGCTTTTAGAAAACTGCATAAAATACAATGAAAGAAATTTGAGAATGGTCTCAAGTCAGTATGTTCAAAAGAATTCAAATTGAAGCATTTAATAGAATTAATTTTTGGTTTTGATAGTAAGAATGGATCTTGATACTTACTTTAATTAGCAAAAACTTTCAGAAAAGTTTAGTAGGCATCCATGCTGTTTTTAACTTAATTTCTTATTAGTAATGCTTTTATTTTATACAATGCAGAAAATGTGCCAATGAGTTGTTGCAACTATGGATGCAAAAATAGAAAATTTGTTTAACCTTACAAGTGCCAATTTAAAGTAATTACATCATATGATTTGTGTTTGTTTACACTAAAAAGAACTGAAAATGTTTGTTTATTCACTGCTATATATACATCCTGTGCATGTTGTTTTTAAGTTTTCTTAAAATATTTGATACATTTGATCTTGAGTTAAATTTAAATATAGTTTATGTCATTCTAACCATTGATTTTTGAAGCTGAAGATGTTCCAAATCAGAACAAAATCATTTGTGTGTTAATATTTTGGCTGCCTGAAATAAGCATTGGAAATAAATAATAATGCTTTTCCAAAATGTGGCTTTTATGATTTTTAATGCACTTTGTTTGATTGTGAAGCACTTTTCACAAGTAAACAGAAGAGTACCATTCTCTGGTCACTGTAACATCTTGTTCCAGGATGACAGGTGGAAGAATGTTGCAATGGCAGAAAGAAAAACTGTGATTATGACTTTTCCAATGCTGCACTCTCAGAGAAACTTGATGGTGATATCCTTGTTTTCAGCTACCCACTGCTTGTTCTAGTTTTTAATTTCAGGGTCATAATAGTAAATCCAGGTTTTATCATCTGCCCATATGTTGGTGACTATTTCTAACATTCTGTCACTAAATTTTTCTAGCATGAACTTGAAAAATTCATGTAGTTCAACTTCATCTGATGAGGTACCCAACATGCACACAGCTTCCTCATATGCAAGTATTCATGCAAGATGGTAATGACTGATCTGTGAGAGATGTTGAGGTTACAGAAAGAGGTAGAATGCATTCTACCTCTTTGGTACTTATCTGTCGGTCTTCTTCAAGCAGGGCCTTGGCAACATCAATCTTTTCTGGAATTATCACAACTCTTGGACGCCCTTCACATTCATTGTCATCAAGGTTGAATCACCCAGATCAAAAGTGCTGATACCAGTCATATGCAGTAGTCTGGGATTGGACTCACTCATAAAGTGCTTGTTGGAAAGTTTTGAGACCATCCACCACCAAAATTGCAACTCTTGTTACATTCACTTAAGGAAGGTAAAATTGGCTGAATTGATGCACTTGTAAAATGATTGCATGTCACTTTGATGCTGAAATAGGTTGCCATCTTGCATATGAGTTTCAGAGACTTCTACTGACACATAGGTGAAACACTATTATAAAGCAGCAATTTTTAAGGTATTTTCTGCAAACTTTTTGACCAACCCTTGTGCATGTAGGGTTACAGAATTCTCATTCCAGTAGAGAACAGTGCTATATTTTCAGGATGCTGAGATAACCTGAATATGCATTTCAGGAATATTAGATTATGTATATGAGAATGATTAGTTTAACATGTGAATCTAATTGAGTGATGACTCTTATGTATTTACAAATATGACATAACATTGTTTAATTGTATTTGAAATTGAACATACAAAACTTTATGCAACACTAGATCATAGGATTTACTGACATGCAGTAAGAAATTTCTTTTAAATAAGTGTGTGTATATTTAGTAGAATCAGAATCAGATAAATATAAATGTAATGAAGGTAAGTTATATTAGAGTTTGTAACTCAGGCAATACAGTTCTTGGTTAAGTTTCAATTTATTTCTTAGGTTCAATGTTGTACTTTGGTTACATTTGTGATATTAAATGATTCTTACATTTATAGTGTATACACCATAAATATACATATGAGATTAGAATTACTACTGGTGACTAAACATTGAAATTATTGTTCTTTTTGTCTTGTTCCAATTCGTTTCTAATTTATATTCATTTATTTGGTCTCAGAAATATAATTTATCTGTAGCTAAGTAAATATTAATGTCTTTTGATCACTTGGGATTTTGCAAGGCTTGATCTTTTTGCAATCTGAATCATTGGTATTTTCTATTTTATCTTTCAATTAGTTTTGTTGATCCTTTGTCATAGTTTAGGTTTGATTTTTGATTCAGAAATAATTATTTAGTAAGAATAATGAATCTTCATGTACAGTACAGTACATAGTAATTTATATATATATTCATTCATTATATTTTATTTAATAATAATATTAATATATGTATAAAATTTATAAATAGGTGTGCAGCTCTCTGGACAAAGTGAGCCAATTTCAACGAGAGATCTTCATGTATGCACTACAGAAATACAAGATTTAGTTCTTGGAACACTTAACAGTGCTGTTGCTGGAAAATTAATTGGATCAGTTGATTATCTTCGAGAAAGTTTCATTGGTAAAATGTGTTACTATTTATATTGCATATTTTTAAAATTAGAATTAGTAAAAATTAAATATTGAAATTTTTATTATACAAAATAATTAACTTTTTTATATAGAAAAATATATAAACCTACTCATTCATTTTATAAAAGTGAGAATACCATTTTGTAAGTTAGATTCTAAAAGTTCCAGGAATAATGAAAAATAAATTATTAGAAATAAATTAAATCTTGAGTTATTTTAAAATAATTTTCTTGTTGCTTCATACACAATCATATTTATATACATATTTTCCTAAAAGTACTGATTTCTTTTAATGATATCAAAAGGTTTGATTTTTTTTTGAAAGCATTTCAATACATAAAATTGGTCTCCTTTTCAATTTATTTGAATTGAGAATAATGAAAATCATTAGATGAAATTTTAGGAATAGATCATAAATTTATCTAATTAGTCTTTCTCCAAAAACCTTCTAAAGAAATGCAGTATTATTGCATAAATAATGCTGCATTTCAAAAATAGTANAATATTCAAAGAAAGAAGATTGAAAAAAATAATAAAATAGGACCCAAATTACCTTGATTCTAGGGAAGTATTAAATATTCCTGTAGAATACTAAAAATATGAATTCAGTCCACAATTTAAACCTTTTTTTTTTTTTTTTTTTTTTTTTTGCTGTCATTTTTCTGGATGTTTTTAATGATTGATTGTCCATTTTTGTGTTTTTATTTAAGAAATATTTAAACTTGTCATAGTTAGCATTATTGAATATATTCGTTATTAATAAAAGAAAAAACCTTTATCAAGAAATTAAAGTTTATATCACAGTTTTTGGTTAATGATTAAAATCTTTAAAAATAATTATTTTTAGTGTGTTTTTGTGTTTTAGATAAAATATTTGAATAATTGAGCATCATATACCATAGTCTATGCTACAAAAGAATGGACCTGAGCTGATCTGATGACTAATGTCTACTCTCAATGTGTGGACTAGTGCTGTAGAGCACTACAGTTTTACCATTCTTATATTCCACAGCACTATTTCTGTGCTCTCTTGAATATAATACATTTTTATTTCAAAATATAAGTTTTTAAGGCATTTTAAAGAATATAAAATAAGTTATTTTATATACTTTTGAAAAATGAATACATAAGGTATTCATTTTTAAATTAAATTAAGGAATTATTTTAATAAAAACCTCTTGCTGGAATTTCAAAGACTGAATTTTACTAATAGCCAAAGTTATCATCCTGCTTATTTTATCATGGGTTAAAGAAATCTTTGGTAAGAAATGAAGTCAAATGGGAAAAATTGAATTTTAAATTAAAAATTAGAAAAATGAAGATATGAAAACAGCATAAGCAATGAATCTTTCTGAAATCGTAACAGAATGAAATTAACAAGAATATTTCTTCCAAGTGTCTTTGCAGATTTAAATGTTTTGCTAGTTTGTTCATTTCATACACTATTATATATTAAATAATAAACATAGAGAGGAAACATGAATATTCTTAAAATGAATTTTAACTACTTGAACTGATTTGGAAAAGAATTGAAAGTTGTGTAATGTAATTAAAGATTAGTTTTGAGAAATTAGTTGTAAATTCAAAATGGTTGATATTCTTTAGTTTTATTCTGCTTATGATGATATTTTGTTTTGATTTGTGAATAATAATGTCACTAACAGGTATTCATTCTTAATGTTGTTTTGACATTTGATATATATAATGCAGTTTATCGAAATGATAAATATTTTGTCTACAACTAAACAAAATTTTGCTCAAAATAAGTCATTTTTTAAAATGATTACTATAACTAGAAATATTTTAATTTTCTTAATTTTTTCTTTATCATTTGAGACGTTAAATATTTATATATTTTTTCTATTCTTTTACGCATTCTTTCAGCTTGACAGTGCATGTAATGCAAACTATCATAAATTAAATGAATTGATAGCAATTTTCTACAATAAAAAGTTATTCTATAAATTACGAATAATGAAATTATAATTATCTTTAATGTAGATCTTTACTGGTTTGTTTTTGAATTTAAGATAAATTATTTCAGGTACTTTAGAAAGATGTCTTGGAAGTTTAGAGAAAGTTTGTAAAGAAAGTGGTGAATCAGTACAAGCAAGTAATGCATTGAAACAAATTTTGAATGCTGCATATCAAGTAAGCTAATGTAAACTTTTTAATATATAAATTTATTTTATGATTTGAATATGTTTTGAAATGTTTGCTTAATTTTAGTTCTTAAATGATTCATTTTATCATAATTTTAAAATTGTTTGACTCTATTGTTAAAGGAAAAGTATGATGTACAGGAGGCAATTCCTCATTGGCATTTAAATGTTTCATTGAAAATTGATTGATATAATTACTAAATTTCACAAAATAATAAATTTGTTTGTTTTCATCATATTCTTAACACTTTGATTATCATCTAAAAGAGCCATGGCAGTATGTTGACATAATGAGTTTAAGATAATAGAAATGATCTCATAGCAGCAATATGATAAGCTTGGGATAAAGATAGTGAATTTTTATTTAAGTATGAAATGAATTGCTGTAAAAATTTGGATTATTTCATATAGCAGTCCATTGGAAAAGATTTAGAGAAATTGAATAGAAAAAAAAAATCTAAAATTTGAAAAATGCATTTATAGAATATATTAAATAAATATGTAAAAAATTTTGAGAATATGTTAAAAATAATTTTAAATTTATTTCATTGACAATACTAGTAGTTACATAAAGTATGTGTAAGTTAAAAAGAAAAATATCTTATAGGATAATACCAAAATATAATGATTTTGAAACAAAAAAGACAACTTACTAAATTAAATAAACTAAAACAGTGTTAGTGTTACATTCATAAACAGAGAATAAAAGAATCCAAATCATATTCTAAACATAAAAACTATTCTACAACATAAACAATAAAATGCAGTTGTCACAGATAATAGAAAATCGAAATTATACTTGTACATTTTATTGGGCTGCAATTTGAAAAAATTGTAAACCTATAAATTTCCACTGTTGTCCATCTGTCTGTCTTTCCTTAATCTCAAGAACAGAGTTAGATAGATGAAAGACATGACCAGGTATGGAAACCTTAGAAGCAGGAGGCTCTGATTAACTATATATGAACTTCAGATGCAAACCAGAAGTCATGTTTCAATTCAAAAATTTTCCCCTGAAAGGTATTAGATAGATGACATGTACAACTTTATTGTTAAAGGAAAAGTATGATGTACAGAGGCAAGTCACTACTAATTTGAGGTAGAGAGCATATATTTTAAGTTAAATAAATTAAAATTATTATTAAAAATTGCAGCCTGCATTGATGATGTCACAATAAATAATTGCTCATTTACATTAGTTTTCATGAAGCACTTGTAGTACATGAGATTTTTTACTGTTTTCATTGCAACTAATTTGATTCCTTTTGTTAAATTACTTGTAAGATAATTTGGTTTTTATTAAGATGAACTGTGTTTTCAATCATTGCAATTATTAATTTCTCAGCAAAATTTGACATACTGACTCAGTGCCGTAACTAGCCATTCCTGTGCCCTGTGCAAGAATTTGCATTTAGACCCCTTAATTAATTAGGTTTGGGAAAATAATAAAACAAATACAGTAGTACCTCAGGATACGAATGCTTCATCATACGAAATTTTCAGGATATGACATGAAATTCAAACATATTTTTGCTCCACAGTACGAACAAAAACTCACCATACGATGTTACATTAGTTTGCAACGCCACTGCCATGATCACGTGTTTCTTCTGTTCATTGGTCTCAGTCTTCATGTTTGCTTTGTCGTGGAAGGATCTCACTTGATAAAGGAAATCTTGAGGTATTATCAGAAAGTGACTGATTTTATTGTAAAGAAACATCCTGAAAAGGTTCACACTGGCCATATTGCTGCTCAGTTTAATGACATTTGCCTAACTCATTTTAGAAACATTTTAAAAAGTAGGCAAAGCCAAACCTCTTTGGATAGATATTTTACCAAGCAACCTCTATCCAGTGAAAGTGCTGGTGGAAGTAAAGGAAAGACGGCAAAAAGCAGTGAATAAAAAATTTTAAAAAATATATAAAACAGAAAAGATAAAAAAATTAGTGTTCAGTTATTTTTAAGTTATTGTTACATTATGTTATGTAAGTTAAGTTTTAGTATCATTTCCCTTCTCCTTCCCCTCTGCCACCAGTTTACACCTCCACTGTCGTCTATCCTCAAAGGTAAAGTGCAAATAAAAATACATTTTTTCATCAATTATTATTCTATTATTTTTATATTTACAACTACAAAATGCATTTTTCAGTATTTTCCTTACTAAAATTTTTTTTCAATGTTTACTACTTAGCTTTAATTTGAGTGTGTTTTTTGTATTGGAATGGATTATTTGGTTTTACATGTAATCGTACGGGGGAAAAATGATTCACTTGCGGCATATTCATGATACAATCTCAGTTTAGGAATGGATTAAATTTGTATCCTGAGGTACTACTGTACGTGTGTTTTGGTTCCCTTTTCAAGTGGTCCCTGTGCGGGTGCACCTGTTGCACCTGCCTAGATACAGCACTGTACTGACTTGATGCAAGTGAATTTCTAAGAGATTGAATATTAAATGAAAATTATTTAAGTTTTATTTTTAAAAAATGTACATTCAAAAAATTTGTATATTATATTGAATAATAAATTTTTTGTTTATTTAAAAGTATCAGAAATGTGATACAAAAATAAAAGATTTTTGTGAATTCATTTTGATTGTACTATTGAATATCATCAATGACTGAAGCTGCTAGATCATTTTCATTACCATAAATAATTTTATCAATTCTTTTTATTTATTTTTATATATACAGTACAACCTCAATTATCCGGACTAATTGGGGATGAAGGTAGTCCGGATAAGGAAAAATCCGGATAATCGAAACAAATACTTTAATTTGTCTTTTAATGATAATACAACACGTTTTCTTTTCGATGACATATCGGTAATATTAAAAGTAAATACTGTATTTAAATCGTGATCAAATTTTCAAGAAACAAACGTTCGTATTGAATTTGGACTACTACTGACCAACGCTAACAGACTACCTATTGTTTAAAAGGCCCTCTGGTGGCGCAAGAAGACAGATTTTATAAAATAAAAAGCAGTTGAAACTGCATTTTTATGAATAAAAATTTGACAAACTATTTATCGTTTTATGACGACTAACTTTTTTGTCGCGTTTGCGGCTTTTAAGTAATGCATAAACCTTCGAGGCCTGAGTCCCTTCGGACTGCGAAGCATAGGTGGTGGCCCATGTCGCCCATACGCCACCCTTGGTCATAGAAATGATGTAATTTGAATATAAATTATTTATAAATATGTATGTCAAGTTATATTTTTATTATGAAGCAAAATATATTTAAGAGTTTATGACCACTGTGCTGGGTGAGACATTGTTGAAACAAAAAAAGTTATTTATTCCATCACGTACATAAACAGTATCATAATTCGCGAAGTGCAAATCAGCAAATTCGTGAAGTTTTTGTTTATTTTGAACAATCCGGATAATAGAGGTCCGGATACTCGAGGTTCTACTGTAGTTAATAATTCATAATCTTTTGTTAACATAACTAAAAATAATAGTTTGAGTTAAAAAGTATTTAATCATTTTTGGTTTTGTTGCCATCTTAATTATAAGAATTTAGTAAACATTTTTTTTTTTTTGAAATACATTTGTAATTTGATTTTAAAAAATTCCAAAATGGTGAAAATATGCTAACTCTCATAACCCTTTTTGCATAATACTTAGGTCACATTTCACATGCTAATAGCAGTTAATTGGCAAAAGTAAAGGCTTATTGTAAAAAATAATTAGTACTTAATATATAATTGGCTTGTTGTATGGTATATTTCAATGTAAATCCGTCTCTGTAATCATTATGCAAATTACAAAATTTTTGATTGTTAGGGATAAGGAAGGTTTGCCCTCCCACCCCTATTTTAAACAAAAATTTTGTAATTTACATGATGAAATCACTGAGGAGGGGTTAAGAGTACATTATACCAACCCAAAATGCTTATATAGTTCAATTGTAAATAAAAAAACAATTTGTTAACCTGAAATTGCTGAGATATGTCTACCAAAGTGTTTTTTTTATTTTATTATTACAGAGACGGATTTACAATTGAGTAATTAGTACTGTTATTGATTTTGAATATATTTTTTTATTTTGCTTATTTTCATTGTTTTTAAGCTATTTATACTTTTTATTTTATGTTTTTATTTTTTACTGAAATAGAAAACTTTGCTGTAAGTTGTTTACTTTTCTTACAGTTTCAGTCAACATTATCTTTATTAATTTTTTAAAGCACTTTTGTCATTTTCTTTTAAAATAAGCTGTGAAATTTTAAATTTGTTGTTGTTATAAAGTGTGTTTGCTCATTAATGCCTAATAACAAACTATTATCTATTGAGTACATGAAATTTTGGTTGAATAATACAATAGAACTAACTTATTTGTATTCATGAATATTGTTATCAGTCATTTAAAGTTATCAGAATTATCATGTCCCAAAAAATTAGTTAAAACACTATTAACTGTGATTACAATACATATCATCATAAGGTTAGTTGTCTTGTTTTGCTATCAGCCTCAAAATATGGTTTATAATGTGCAATTGTTATAGTCTTAATCAGTGCTTTAAAATTATTGTTTAATAATTTGTTCACAGTACAATAAGATGTTACTTAATTTGTTATAGAGGTGCTCCTTCAGTGGCAGGAATACTAAAGGGTTAATGTTGTTGATAGGTTCTTGGAAATTGACGTTAAGCAAAATAACTTATGAATAATGAAATCAGTTTTACTGTAGGTTAAATTATATAAACAAGATTTAATTTGATTAATATTATACATGTCAGAGGTTGCAAACACAAAGTAAGTGTTTATTTTCACCTCAGAATCAATTTGACTGTTCATAAAGGAAATTCAATAATAATGATTGTAAATGACTACAAATGTATAGTAATTGTATTTTTTTCTCAATGACAATGAAACAATGTTAATGTTAAACAAAATGATAAGTTAGGACTTGTCTACAATTTAAACTATTGTATAGCATTTCATATCATAATATATAAAACCAAATCATGACACCACTAATAAACAAATGATATTACAGAATTTTAATTGAGCTATAATGTGGGTAATCAATCATGAAGTGACCCATATGATTATATCTTCTAAATTTAGTCTGGAAATGAGGATCAGATGAAGGTCCAGGAAAAAAACAATTGGAAACATATCTGCATGGTAAACAGGGGTTGCAGATTTGAATCCACTCTAGATCGATCTTTTTTCAAAATATTCTAAATGTATTCATTATTAATTATTAAATTTAATACAAGATGGGTTTAATCATTTTTACCTTTAGTCCAAATTAAGTAATATCTTTATAATTAATTAGCCTTATTATAGCTCAATTTAAATTTGGTGATATCATTTGTTTGACACTTTTACTTAAATTATACTGTACATTGGTAGAATTATTATAGTCAATTATAATAATTATAATAAATTATCAAGCTGTGTATTGATTAATTTGTCTTTTTAATATCAGTCAATAAAATCAGATTTTCACTATTTGTGATCTTATTTACTTAACTGATTAATAACATTAAGATGGAGTTATCAGTACAAATGGTGATAACTGATTAAATGATCTAGGTATTTACAAAATGCATTCTCCAGTACATAAGAGGAAACCTAATCAACTTTCTTATATATGTTCAAAATTGTTTTTTAGCTATTGAAAAGCTGTATGTATTTCTGATAATTTAATAATAGCATATTACTATTATATTTTGCTTTATAACATATTTATATACTATTATTTGTTTGACTCTCTCTAAGTTGAGTAAATAACCAATGACTATCATAAAATAAAATTTTATGGTAGTTTTGAAGATTTTTTTTTATTTAAATAACAATTTATTTTAAAATATTTTGAAATCTTATACAAAAATACTTAAATCAAAATTTTATAAATTATATTTTCTGTGTATATAATTATATAATTTTTATTTTTAGGTTGAAGTTACTGTTAAAACTAGTTCAACATTTTTACGAGCACTTTTTGAGAAAATGAAGCAGGTATGTTGGAATGATGCACTTAATATAATAACATTTTTTTAGTAGTAAAATGTTGACCTCAGTCTAGTATAATATAATATCATTTAATTAATGAATATTTACTAGTGATGTAACGAATATTCGGTTACTATTCGGTATGCTGCCTATTTTTCACTATTCGGCCGAATACCGAATATTTAATCACTATTCGGCTGAATACCGAATACCTAAAAAACAGGAGTAATAAATAACAAAAACACAGTAAATTAATCGTTTTGGTATTTAGATTTAATGTTTTCGAGTTAGTGTTGTTTGTTTATATTTATTTATAACTTCTAACATGCACAAAATAAAAAAGTAAATAATATTAGTCACATGTATTCACAATTTATAATTACAAAGATCAGTACACGTCTATCGTTGGAGAATTCTCGCACATCTGAGGGTCTGATCCTGCCTATCCTTCTTTTTAAGCTCTTGTCTTTGCTCTTCCCTTTCTCTTTCCTCTATCGCTCTAATCCATGTATGCCTGTGCATACATCACAATACGCGCTCACGATACTTTCGATTCGTCACTTTTCCGTCGTAGAGTTTCCATTTAACAATTACGTGACTCAACCTGGTGATAACGGAGAAAAGAGACAGATAGGACGTCAATATAAGTCACAGTTATGATTTCACAGATTTGAGACAGCTTGGTAGCCCGAATGGCCCCAGGCTTTCTCCCTTGCACACAAGTGACTTTCATTACAAGTACAGTATTTAGCTTTCCGAAGTCTATGACAACAATTGTTTGGCATTGACAGCTGCAAATTTCGTGCCAATAAGCTGCCTCGACTTGTTTGATTATGTTATCGACTCAATTTCATATTTATTTTCACATTTTCACTTCGCTGTCCTTCTTTGTTCTTTTTCCATTATTTACACGTGTAGGTCATTTCATTGTTATCCACATTTGATATCATCATTTATCACATACTTCCATGACACTGTTGTGTGTCCGCTACAACTTCCAAGAATTAATGCGATTGGTGAAGTGTAGTGACAGCGGGCCAATGGAGAGCAGGATCCTTGCCATAATGCGGCTTGCGCGCCAATTTTCGTACGTGCATTAATTGAGCCGAATAGTTTGGCCGAATATTCGGCTATTCGGCCACGCTCTTGGCCGAGTATTCGATATTCGGCCTGAGGCCGAATATACTATTCGTTACAACACTAATATTTACCTTATATGAATAATACCATATTTAATTAATGAATTATGTCCTGTTTGGATTATCCTGTTCTGTATGATCCTGTTTTGGATTATAATCCAAACAGGACATAATTCATTAATTAAAAATAATTATAATTTTTGTTGTTAATAAGTAATAATCATGCAAAAATCTGAAATTTTTGCATGATTATTTCTTTTCTGTCAATCAGTTTTATTTTTTAAAATTGTAACGTAATGAACATAACACAACAGCTATAGCATTAAACAGGAAATCATAACTGGAATTTAGTTTGAGAAATGCAGCAGAAAATCTAGTTAGTTTAAATTTTATAATTCATTTCTAAAATACCAGTAAAGAATAAGTATTTCTCATATTTAAAATATTATACAAATAGTCTTACTTTTCTGTATAACTACCACAATTTTCCATAGTTATCAGTTCCTTATTTTATTGTTTTTTCAAAGTATTTTATTTTATCTGACTTTTTTCCAAGATAAAAATTTGTGATTACTTGGTTTTGAAACTAACTTATTTAGTATTTCTCTCTATTTTTAATTTTTTATAATATTAAAGAAAATTTCTTAAACTGAGTAAATTAAGTTCAGCAAATGAGTTGAAAGTTCAATAAGATAATTATGTGGAAAAAATATATATTCAGCTAAGTTTATAAGTTTTTACTAAGTTTAAGCTGTTGTTTTTTTTATGTTTGTTTTTTGTATAGTTTAAGTATATTTAGTTATTTGGAATAAATCTTCAAATCTCATACACACATTAAAAAAAAAAAAATTATGGAATATGTTTTTAAGAATTGTTTATATAATAAACATCTGAAATCTGAAAAATATATAACATTTCAGGTTTTAAAAAGCATATTAGTATAAATTAGAATATGCATCTGTATATATAATCAAGACGGGTTGATGATGATAAGTGCAGAGCCCAAATGGTTAGGAGTTGAAAGTTGAAATTTGGTACACAGTTAGGGTACATCACGAGAATGTACAGTAAGAAGGGATTTTTTGAAATTCCTCCCCACGAGAGAGAGGGACAGGATTAAGGCTTAACACTTCCATCATGGAAGTATCAAGTAACAATGGAAGTGTTAAGAAAAAGCGGCATGCAAGACGCAGATGCAGTTTTTTCATTTTTGCGGGAAATCAAACATATTTTTACACCCGTCTAAAAATTCTGTAAGTAGTCCGGAAACAGGGGAACCAATTCTTGCATTCTGTGAAAACAGATAAGGTTGACTATAACGTAATAATCTTAATCTTTGCTATTGTTACTTTTGCCTGAGCAATGCCAGGCCTACCTGCTAGTTAATCTGGAAAATTGCAGTAATTAAAATATCTTAATTTGATTATTATTATTTTTTCTAATTTTTAAAAACTTTTTAATAATTTTTCTCAGAGATCGAAAAAACAATATCTCAGAGAAAGCAAAGACAGATAGCTTAATTTTTAGAATTGGATTTATCTAATAATCTGATATGTTAATAATTATTAAATTGTAGTTGAGATTTAAAAATATCAATTTAAATATTTTCTAATTAATTTTTACTGTTATATTCATAAAATATCAAAGTTAAACTTCATGTTTTAGAAGACTTACTTTCAAGTCTTAATTAATTAGTTGTTTTGGAAATCATTATATTTTAAATGAAGTTAGAATCATTAATTATTCTTTAAACTTAGAATAAACTGTTTAAAGTAATTAACAAATAATTCTTAATTTAATAATAATTTTAAAGTTTTACAGTTGTTTAATTTTATTAATTTTTAAAATATCATTATGCATAAAATCTTTATAAAAGGTCCTTTATAGTCTAATTATAGTATGGCATTGCACAGCAAAATTTAAAGAATATGTTAAGTTTATTCTGCTATTATTTCTACTATATGTCAAACTGTGTACTAGTAATTATCTTTCTTTCACTGGTCACCCTAGAGGTGTAAGGTATATGGTAGGGCAGGTTTTATTTTTGTTGTTGCAATTTTCTACAAGATATACATCACTGTAGATTTTTTTGTCCAAAATTACACTAATTGAACCTCCTCTATTTTTGTAATTTGCTCCATAAATTGTAGGCCAACAATGTAACTGAAAAGTTGAGCAGTGTTTAACTTTGATGATTGAACCAATGCCACACTGTGCATTGAGTTAGATGCTTATAACAGTTTGACTCTAATATGTTGACATCAGAAACTCTATGCTGTCATTGGACTATAAAAGTGACTTAATGATTTTTTTTTTGAAAATTATTTTATGATTAGCAAAATATTAAGTTATTGTAATATTTGAATATTTTGTTCAATTTATTTTATTTTTATTTTTTTTTTGGAAATAGTTATAACTGACTTTAATATTACTGTAATGAAGTTGAACTGCCAAAAAATTTTGTTGTTAAACAGAAGCCTAGCTTATTTTAAAAATCTACATAAATATTTGTTTTATTAAAATCTTTGAAATTTTGTTTTATTTATTTCATTACTTAGATAACACTTAGATACAAAAATTTGATTTAAACTAAAATTCTGTAATGTAAAATTGCAGCTAGTTCAAGCATTGCCCTGGAAAACACCACCACACATAGACAAAGACTGGAAAAGAAAAGTGGCTTCTGATATGTTAGCTAGTCTGAGTCCCTTACGTTTATCAAGATCTATTTGCTCTCAATTTCGAGAGAGATTAAAAACATCTCATGATCATTTTGCTGCATCTCTCAGACAATTAGAAGCTATTCATTCTGGAAGATTGGAAAGAACAGAGGAACAAAGATTAAAAGTAATCATTTTGTTTATCTATTTTTTTAACTATTTAATTAAATTATATAGTATAACATTTTTAATAGTTTTGATCTTTTTACGGCTAAGCAAAATAAGATCATTTATTGAGTGAATGAATTCATGTATTATTCTTTTTTAATGCAATAAATATAAACAAACAAAACATAATTTTATATATAAAATGGTAAGCTTGTCTTATTTATATACTGTATATACAATATTATTGTTACTTGATATCTTATTCAACTCTATTATTCATTCTAAACAAATGTAGTAAAATAAACTTTTATCTTATAATAATATGTTACAAAAGTCTTTAAAATATATTATTAAAATGAAATTAAATTTTTCAAATTTATTTGAATGTAATTAGTATTTTAGGATTTTAAAACATTTAAATTGCTTAACTTTTTATCAGCTTCAAAATAGTAACTTTTGAGTTTTTGACAAAAATACATGATGAAAAAGCAGCACATATGTTAGCTATCAACAGAGATCTTATAAGAGATCAAAGAGCTTCTGTATATAAAAATGCAGAACAGTTTTGGTATGTGCTTAATTTTTTAAAAAATGTATTAATAAAATTTTTGATTTGCATTCAAAAGGAAAGTTGCAAGCAAAAATACAGCCTTTACCTTGAAGGTTAGTAGCAGTCTCAAAAAGTTTGCATTTACAATCAAACCAAGTGTAGACCTTTAGAACAATGAAGGTAAAAGGTCTGGTAGGCTACTAAACCATTTAGGAAGGTTTGTAGTGATACATTTGTGTAAATGGTTATCAAAGAATTGTCTAAAACTTGGTATTATGTTCAAAATTTAGCAAATAAACTGTCAAGATGAAGAAATCTAGCTATTTGAGATGTTGGACCAGATAGGTCCAAGAACATCAGCTCTTTATGCAGAATTTAGAATAATTAAAAAAAAATTGACAGTTGAATTTAGAACAATTTACATTTAAAATTTTTTGTATAGAACAAAATTTTAAAAATTAAAAATAGAACTTAAATAATCCCAATTGTTAATTTTAAGTTTGTAGAATAAAATTCAAAATTAACAATTGTTGATTAGAACAATTCAAATATGAAATTTTAGAAATTGTAAAATTTAAGACTAACAAATAAGTATTATAATTTAGATATGGAATGAAATTTAAAAAATTTTAAACATTACATTATATAATAACTGCCTGTGCATTTAAGTAAACCTGAGTAAGAGCTGCTCACAAGTGCAGAAATAAGAACTATCTAACAACCAGCTGCAAGCTATGTGTAGATCTTGACATCATAAAAGTTAGTTTAGTATGTTTAGAGAAAATGGAAATATACAATAGTTCTAATCACATATGCCGAGAGAACAGTTTTGTTTCCTTAATTATAAAATGGGAGTATTCCACATAACTTGTATGGTCAATTATAAAGCCCAATGGTATAGCAAAGTTTTTATTAACAATCTCTTTAGTAACTAAATTGTAATGTTCTTTGATGATTTTTAGATAAGGATAAGGACCTTTAGATAAGGATCTACACATGGAACGAATATAATAAAAACTGTGTCATCCGCGTGTATATTCTCGGTCTCTGCTGTAAAAAAAAAATTTGTTTTCTTTTACCTATAATCATCTTTGTGTGTATATATATATATATTTTGTCAATGTAATTAATGTAAACGATCGTCGCGATTGCTGTACGCGCGGTTTTATTTGTGTTTTGGGCGGTTTTTGTGTGGCAGCACGGTGAGAGTGGTGGAGGAGTTATATATAGTGGGGAACCGGAAACCATTCATTCTGGTTCCTGGCGTGCAACAGTGAAGGTGTGTCCTTCGATTGTCTTGTGTAGACCCTTTGTGCTTTGTGTAAGCTGCCACGTGCCAGGCTTAAGCCGACCTATCGTATTGTGATTCAATTATAAATATATATTTGGTGCATAAAGTTTGTTAAATAATATATTGTACTGGTCTCCTCCTTTTTGTGCCAATCGTTTTTCATTCATCCCTGCGGATATCATCCCTCAGATATTCGCAGATTCCACAAAACTGTTTAATCATTGTATTTGTGGTTTATTCTTGTCATTGATTCAGTTGGTTTAGCATCACCACAGTCAATCTCCTAATGTCTATACCTATAGGTGAATCCTATACATAATCTTAAGCTTTAAGCAAATTTGTGAAAATATAATAATCTAAGTGCTATATTTCTCATTTTATTAGCTGTAGAAGAAGAGTTAGTGTGTGTATTAATGAGATCTGTATGTTGGATAGAAATAGCAATAATTCTTTCCAGTTCTTCATGTATGCTGTGAATGTGGAATGTATGATGGCTTAGTTTATCAATGTGCAAAACTCTGCCAGTTTGTAACATAATATCATGACTTCCAGTGTTTGTAGGAATCAATTGATTTAGACTTGTAAAACCCTTTAATTCTATTTTTAAGTCTGTCCAAAGGTATTGACCTAGGTTTAGAACAGCTAAGTAGTTCTAAGCCTAGTCTAATACCTGTAAAATTTATTACTAAAAATTTTAAATGTAAATTACTTTAAATTTGACTGGAAATTATATTTTGTAATTGTTCTAAGTTCTGCTTGAATGGCTGGTGGACCAGATAGATTTAAAAACATTTCTTTTCAAATTAAAATATTGGTTTCATCAATTTAACAATTTATTTGTTGAAGTAAGTTATAGTCTGATAATCTGATTTTTCACTTATTGAGAAATGAGAAATTTATATATATATTATCAGAGCCTGGCAGTCTATAAGATTCTATTCAATAAAAAGTGCTCAGATATTACAGTATTTTATGAAGATAAACTGATTAATGTAGATTCCTCTGACATCCTGTTAAACTCTTGTATATGGATCATTTGCTGAAAAAGTTTGTACTTTTTATTCAGAATTATTTAATTTAATTGTGTAAGATTCACATTTTGTCATGTAATTTTTGAGCCTTTTTTAAAAAAATAAATTTATTAAAGTTTGCAAAGAGCAAAGGAATTTAAAATATTCTGAATTCCTGAAATGTTAGTTAAGTTTGAAAACACTTGAATTTTAGTTGTTTTTAGATCTGAATATGAGAGAATTTTCAAACATCAAAATTTTTATTCAAAATATAGCTCAGAATATAGATATTATAGATTTATAGAGAAAACAAAATTATCAAAATTTTTATAAAATTTCTTTATAGAAGTCTTTTTATGTAAAAATTTTGATTTAAAGTAAGGAATTTTATTATTTTTGTTTAGAATATATTATATATACACACATTACACAATATCGTTGAATTTTCCTTAAGTAATATTTAACTACTATTGATATTCTTTTAAGAATTTCAGATAATAATGTATATTTAAAATTATATAAAGTTAATGGAATTTCTATAAAAACTCTGGTTTATAAAAATATCCAGCTTTTCAAAATATTTCGCATTCAAATTTTATGTAATAGTACAATCAGATAATTTTGAGTTGATATGTCAGAATGGAAGTTGTGTATTTTCATACTGTCACACTTACATATGCTGAAAATAGTTTTTATAATATCAAATTATCAGATTACTTATACATCTTTATAGTTTCTCCAGATCAAATGATTTATTCTAGAAAAGTTGTGAAGATTTTTTATATAATTTTTTTAAGTTCATAAATATAACTTGTAAATTTAACAAAAGTATAGGTATAGATTGAGTTTATACTGAATAATTTGTTTTTTAAATCAACATTGACATAAAACATTTTGAATTTAAATGTAATAAAATTAAATTTAATTGTATTATATTGATATAAACTTCATTAGCACTTTGTAAAATTTGAAAATTAAATTATAAAAAGAGTCAAGTCATTTATTGTTTTGTCAAATATTTAATTTAGATTAAATATTTGACAATTTTTATTATTCAATATTTAACCTAAATATTTTAGAATATTTAAATTATCAGAATATTATTACTGTTTCTACTAAAATAGAATACTTTCTATTAAAGATTGTAAAACATTTAAAACTTAGAATATTAATGTCTATTGCAAATTAATGATAGTTTGTTGTTTTCTATTTTTTTAATCTTAACTATTTGAAACTTAAACAGATTTTTAAGAACTGTTTTTATAAAATAAAAATAATAGTTTTAAGTTGATATTTTAATTGATGTTTAGGTTCGAAAAGTTCATGCACCAAGGATTGCAAAATATGCATTAGAAAGCACTTCATTGACAGACATGATATTATTTGGTAAATATTATGTTAAAATAAATTTAAATTAAGTTTATATGAAATATAACTGCAAATTTTGTTTTATTCATAACATAAGTCTTTCAAGTCTTTGAATAAACTAAAAATAGAATAGTAAAGTGAATATGGCAATTCAAAAGATGCTTATAGGAAAAAATTATTAATTCTACATTGATTTAAAAAATATACTGTTCTTATAATTTTAGCAGATTATTTGTTAATTTTTTACCTCCTGCTCACCATTACAGCTTTAAAGTTTTTAGAATCCATAAAATTTGGCACTATTTTGATAAATAAATCATACCACACTGCTTGTTAAAATTACCAACAATTTTCTATTTATAAAAAATGCTTTTGGCTTCTGTTAAGTCATCTTCAGTTTACAGTAATACATTTCAAAAGATACAGAATATAATCTAGAATAATATATGGTGTAGATCTTTCCAATAGACAATTTTAAATATTTTAAAACAAATGTAAAAGAACTAAAAGGAACTTCAAAGGAAAAAACTTCAAATATTTGAAGGAAATTGACACTCAAATTTATATATTATTTAAAAAGCTTTTAAAAAGTCAATGTTATAAAAATAAAAATCTTGTAATGTATAAGTCTTAAAATTAGCTAATTGCCTAGTCTTAGAATGTTTTAAGCTGCTAAATATGACAATTTTCATCTGTCTTTATGCAATATATACAGTACATTAGATTATTTTTATACAGTGATAATAAATTCAGATATTGTGTAATTATTAGAGAGATGCAGAAACCTTATCCTGAACTGGATATATATAATATAACAAGACTTCCAAACCTAAAATCCAATGAGAAAAACATTTATTGAAAGAACAAACGTTTTCTGTCTTTAAAAATACCATCATCACATTCTACTAGTAGAATGTAAATCAAACAAAAATAGAATTTAAATAACACTCATTGGGTACGAATGTTGCATGCACAGGAACACAGTAATAAGTTATGAAATAAAAACAATTAGAAAAGAAAAAACAACACATACAAAAAAGATTAAATGCTTATAAATAACAAAAAGTTGGAATAAAATATATTCCAAAACAACTGTTCTATCAGTAGAACCTGAAGATGGCCTTTGTAAAAGGTGAAAATTTTTGTTCTTAAATAAATGATTTTTCTTCACTGGATTTTAGGTTTGGATTTGTTGTTAGATTAGGGATATTTCCATTGAAAATTCTGAAATTCTTACCCATTCCTGTTATAAGGATAGAACTTTTGATATGTAGGTATCAAAATTGAAAAGTCAGATCATTCTAAAGAGTAGTATCTTTATACATAACTTCTGTCAAAGACAAATTAGGTTATAGGAATTCTTGGAATTTTATATTATATATAAATAGTACTGTCTGCAGTTTAATAATACATTTGCCTTTAGATTTTTATCTTTTCATGAATTTTTTGCTATACATTCTAAGATGGATAAAAATGAATTTGAGAAAAATGTAGCATAGCTATCTGTTGAGTGGATTAATGAAAGCACTCACACTACACCTTACACACTTTTCCAGCACTAGTTTAATCAAAACAAATGTTTTTGACCCTGTTTAAAGGTCTGCCTCAGGATAAAAAATATTAAAATACAAATTAAAGAAAAGAACTGACTTCTAATGGTAGAACTATAATTGCTATTTTTAAATTTACAAAATTCGAAAAAATGGTATATTTGTTCCCAGTTTTTCTACAAGCACTTTCTGGATCAATAAAAATATATGAAGTTTTGTTTAAAAAATGATTAGTTAAAAGATTGAATTTATATTAAATATTACAAACATCTCAATATATATAAATTATGATTAGTGTTACAAAATTTGTTTCTAACTTAAAGTAGTTTTATAAATAATTATGCTATTTACATCTGTTAATAATGTATTATTTTACAATAAAATAAATATACATGTCAGAGTTTTCATTTGATTTATCGAATATTGTCCTTTCTAATCACTATTTTGTATAACAAAACAATGTTAAGATTTTCTGAATACTTGTATAGTAAATTGACTCATTATCTGCTGACAGTGGTGATAATTACATTCTAGAAAAACCATAGGTTTAAATTACTCATACCTAGTATAGCTAATATTAGTTTATATATATAATATTTTGCAATATACACAATATATATAGTTACAACAAATCATTACCACTATAGAATCAGAAGATCATTCCTTTCTAGGAGATCATGAGAAAGGAGTTATAGTTTGAGATCAACTCAACTAGATGCAGGAATTTTAATCCTCAGAAGCACCCTCATCCCATCTGTCAACTAGGATGCACCAGGTACACTGTTGTCACTTTCCTATGACATGTGGCCAATCTTTGAGAAGGGAACTCTTCCTATTGATATTTTCTCTAACTTTTAACAAATTATTGTGATTATTTCATCTTGTACAAGAGCATTGAGTTCTATATATGAACAGTGCAACAGTACTATGACTTCCTCCCACAAACTTTTGATGGCCCAATCAACCACAGTTTAGGATGATCACCACATGTTGGTAGTCTTGATTGTGTTTTAGTGCAGGGTATATGCAAATACAAAAGTGCCAATGAACCCATTCCCTTATAACTTGAGAGGATTTATGATGTTTACTTGTTGATCACATTCCAAAGAATCCCTTTTAGCATTCTATTTCACATCTTTAGGCTTTATTTAGTTTAACTGATTGATTTACAAAATCAAAATGATTAATTCAGCCAGCTTTAACAAAGTTAGTCAAAAATAAATGGGAAAGAGCAATAGCTTTATTATGAGAGTAGAAATAATAAACTACATTTCTCTTAAATGACTATTTGCTGTCACACACTTTTGCTAACATCAATACCTTGATTGGAAGCAGTCCTGAAACTTGTTTTTGGACATTGTCAGATATGTTGTAGCACAGAAATTTAATCTTGCAATGATGCAAAATGGAAAAAGATACCTCAGTAACTGTTAAAATAACTTTTAATATTTTTAATAATGTTTTTATAAATTTACTGTATTTTAAAATATATTTTATTATATATACATTTTATTAAATATTTTTATATAAATACAGGAATGCCACAAATTGGAAGAGAGATTGGTAGAGGTCAGTATGGTGTAGTTTATGCTTGTGATGCATGGGGTGGCTTTTCACCATGTGCTATAAAATCTGTNGCTGAGTAAAGATACACAACTACAGTGAAATGTAGAATGAATGTAATTGATTTTAAAACCTTGTTATAACATATTGAAATATACGTGTTTAGAATAATCTGTTCCAGGCTCATAGTGTATGCTTCAAAGCAAAGTTACTATCTAGCACAACCATTTAAAGGTAAATACAAAACAAATCATGAACTATAAGTGTAAAAATTATATAAAATTTTTAGATCACATTCATCATGAATTATCTGATTTTTAGATATTCTAGTTTATTACTATGCTCTGAATTTGAAAATTTCCATAATTTTAGTTGTTAAGGCATATTTTTAGTAAACAAAAAGTTAAAAATGTACTCTATTTTTTCTTACACAAAATTATTTAATATAAGAGAATATAACACAAGAAAAATGGGTATTATTAATTTATGTAACACAAACAAAAATGTCAGAGTTTAATAATTATGAATTTCCAAATATCTAGTGTACATTGTTTAAAAGTAAAGATAATGGTATTCAATAAGGGAGGTCAAATGTCACTTAGAGAAACATGGTTTCTTAACAACCAACCTTTACAACTTGCTTCAAATTACATATACTTGGGAGTTTTATTTTTGTCTTTTGTACAATTCTTACAGGTTAAAAATCATAGAATCCATTTTAGCTTTACATATACTATGTGGCCTATTCTCTCAAGAACAAAAATTAACCCTGCTTCTACTCATATAAAATTATTCATTGAATGATTTCATTGTTATTACTCTATGCTGCTCCTATATGGGCAATAACTTACTATGATAAGTGATTGTATGATAATCATTTTTGCTTTGTATTTTAGAAAAATTTTCATGTTATATAATAAAATTTCAATGTACATGTAGTGATTGGAGTTTTTAGAATATCAGTAATTACAATAAAAGTAATAATTTTATTTTGGATATGTCTTAAATTAGACAATAAAAGCTACATTAAACTAGTGTATGATAAACTTCACAGATTGTGTTTCAACGACAAATGATTACACACACAATTAGGTGTCAGCATTGCAAAATCTGTTGGATTGACTTGGTTTATCTTTTTTATGACTATCCCAGGATCCTCATTTGATTGAATGTTATCAACCATTAATTTTAAAACTGTGCTGTGAACAAAGTATACAAGAAGATTTGTCTCTGTTAGAAAAGAATAAGCACTTTTAATTATATTGTAGTATTAAAATGAGGTTTATATGTGAAGATTATTTGCTTATGGATATAAATTATCATGTTAAACAATTAATTCTTCATTTGAGATGCAGTCAAAATTATATCATAACATATAATAGCAGATTAACAATAGATCCTGAAAAGATATGTAGTAACTGTTTTATGCAAGTATATGAAACTTGGGAACATGTATTTCTTCATTGTTAAATTTAAAGTTAGTAGGGGCAAGTATTTAATCAGGTTTAAATCTTGGAAAGATGATATTAATATATCATGCTTTTCAAAAACTGATTTATTACTCTATATTTTATTTTGTGTTATTTTGTACTAAATTATTGACTTGTTAAATATTATCACTAATTTTTGTTTTTGTTACCCCTTGTAATGAACTAAGGTTTATACAGTAAGCATTGACCGATTGATATTATTTAAAAGTAAAAACTCATTCAAAAACTGATAGTATATAAAAGTAATTGTATTACACAATTTTTCATTTTTATTTAAAACAGATAGAAAATATATTTTTGTACTAAACTAGTTTAAGTGTAATTCAAAAACTTTTAAAATATACTTTAATTGTATGCTGTTAAAATTTAAATGCAATTGTCTGAAAATATTTAGAGCAATTGAAATAAAATAGTTAAAAATGAAAAATATTAATCAAAATAAAATTAATTTCCTAAAAAATTTGTTATGGATTCATATCACATACAGTTAAAAATTAAAACATATTTTAGTTGAGAATAAGTTGTTCTCAAATATTTTAATTATTTAACTAAAATTTATTAATTGGTGTTAATAATTATTTCTGTTCTGATTTGATTTTTGTAGAAGTATACCAGAACATGATCGTATTGTCCAAATTAGTGGTTCAGTAATTGATCATTCTTATGGAAGTGGAAGCACGCCTGCTGTTTTGTTGATAATGGAAAGATTACAAAGAGATTTATATTCAGCTATCAAGATGGGATTAAATTGGATGTGTCAATTACAAGTAGCTTTAAATGTAGTAGAAGGCATTAGATTTTTACATAGTCAAGGTCTTGTTCATTGTGACATTAAATTGAAAAATGTACTGTTGGATAAAAGAAATCGTGCCAAAATAACTGATTTAGGTTTTTGTAAACCAGAAGCAATGATGTCTGGAAGTATTGTTGGTACACCTATTCACATGGCACCAGAACTTTTCAGTGGACGATATGACAACAGTGTTGATGTTTATGTCTCTGGAATTTTATTTTGGTACATCTATGCAGGTCATGTAAAATTGNATAATAATAATATAATTATTATTATAATTATTAATAATAATTATAATAAATTATTAACTTTAATTATTATTATTAACTTATAATATAATTATGATTATAATTATTGAGTCCGGAAGGAGTTTTGTTGTAAGTAATCTTTTGGCATTAATTAAGATTATGTTCAATGATGACTCCTGGATATATTTTTCTTCAATATTTGAAGTTAAGACTATTTACAAAAATAATATATACATTTTCATCAGTTATAAATTGGTGAAGGACTTGATAGTATGGTGAGAAGATTTATTTTATGTTTTTAATGTAAAAACGTCACATCCTTGAATAAAACAACGTTTGATCATTTTTAACTTTATGAATTTTTACCTATTATTATTATTCGTCTTGTTTAATGTAGTTTTTCTTCAAACCAATATAACTGTTACTTCTGTGGTTTTGTTAAAGGATTAAAAGACAGACTCAAAAATGTATATATATTTTTGTAAATAGTCTTACTTCAAATATTGAAATAAGATTATGTTGACAAAACCTCTTTAAAATATTGGTTGGCTCAGAAGTTTATCTTTGGAAGATCAGAGAAATTAAAGGATTCTTGATTTTCATACAGAATTAGATCATAAACATATGTGTTTTTTATAAATTTTTTAGGTTACAGTACAGACAATACATATGTAGTGGAGTCAAAAATACACCAAATTTGTACTTATGATGCTCAGTTTAGTGTAACTTTTATTACATTATCTTCAGGTACACAGTTTTTTCCATTTGTTGTTATTACTTATTAACATAGAATGGACTGCAAGACTTATCTCCTTGAGGGGAATCATCACAGCACTTTTCATCTTTTCTGTTGATTTGAATCTGTGATTCTTCAGTATAATTTTTGTTTTGGTGAGAACATGAAAGTTTACAGGAACAAAATCTGGTGAGTGCAGATGGTCTGGAAGTGCAGGTATCTAGTGTTTTGCCAGTTATTCACAAACCAGTAGAGTGTACTGTGCTAAATAGCATTGTAATAGAGAACCCAGCTTTTTACTTGCCAAAAATGAAGCCATTTTCATTTTACTGCATTAGAGATAGTTGAGAATTTCAATTGAAAAATTTTTGTTAATAGGTCTACAGTTAAGGGCTACTGTGACTGACAATGTACAGGCCTTTCACATTAAAAAAGCTACATGTATTAAATTTTCCTTGGATCTGTTGAAATAAGAATTTTCTGTGCTGAGCTGAAGAGGCAAATTTCCATGTTGATGAGGCACATTGTTATGAGTTATACAAGAAAAACAAAGTTTTATTACCAATTACTTTGCATCAGTCTTCATTGCAGTTGATAAAGATCAGATATCTGGATCTTTATCAACTGTGTCAAACAGTTGTGTGTTGATGACTATGTATTCTTCATGTTACTCATCTGTTAACTTTCTTAGGACAATGAGAGAACAGACATACATCAATGTGGTGCATTTTTGAATCATTGTGAAGGATGGTATTTATAGAGCTGTGTGAAATTTCCAAGATCTTGATTTGATCATCTAGTGATTGTGTAAGGTCTCATGATCTATTCACAAACTTAAAGAAATTTGTTTCTTGCTAAAGCTTGACTGTTTGAATGGGGATAGTCCTGCTGATTTACAGTCTTCTTCAAAACATTCATGTCATCTGTACACTTGTGTATGCAACATGGGTATCATTATAATATACTTTTTAAACAAATTAAATATTTTAGTTTTTACCAACTTTGTTACAGAATGTGATGTTTTGTCATTCATGATTTATTATTTCAACATTTTAATTGCACACACCCAGAAAAACTTACCTTTTCAAAAATTGCAAAGCATCTAATCATGGAACAGTGGTATATAACTAAACAGTGGCATCCCACATTTGGACATTAAGATTTAAGCCAATAAGCTTTGAATATCATGTACATTTTATAAAAAGTTTAAAACTATCATTTTGTAATAATTTAAATAAAAGGATGACTTTAAAAACCAAAAACAGGCCACTCCTTTTAAAATATAAAAAATTTTGTAATAATTTAAATAAAAGGATGACTTTAAAAACCAAAAACAGGCCACTCCTTTTAAAATATAAAAAATTTTGAATGTGTACTTTTCACTTTCTACTTGAAAGCAAAAGATACATATTAATAAAATGTTTTAATGTTAACCAACATTGGCATCTCCATCAAAACAAATGGATTGCTGACACCAAAGAACAGTGGTAGCCAAACTTTTCAATTTACCAGCAACAAATATTTTGTATTTTCCATATATATTATACAATCAGGGCCAACCTAGCAATTATGCTGCCCTAGGCAAAATAGTTATTTGCTGCCCCTTTTAATATAGACATAATGTAATTTTAATTGAAAGATTTAATTTATTCTATATATGTAATAACATCACCCAAAAAACACAAACACATTAAATTTTTAAAAAATTATTTATTTAGTAAAATAAACAGTTGTTTATTGAACAAAAATATCAAAAATATCAAAAATGTAAAAATAAAAAATACAAACAACAATGCACAATATTTTGCAAAATATAGAACACACATTTAAAATGTTTTTTCCTAATCTTTGTTTAGCCCATCAAAGGCCAAGCAGATAAAACCACTGGACACTTGTCATGAGTTTGTGCCTCACCACAGGACTTGCCATATGGAGTTTTCTGGGTTTTCTTAATGTTTGTAACAACTAAATAGGGGCCAATTTCCCATAAGACCTCCTGGGAGGCATTCCCTAGGCATATTTCCCATGTCAAATCTAACCTTTATTTTGGCAAAGTCTCTGATAATTTGTTGAAAATCAATGTTATTGGACAAATCTTAATTCTATTGCAAGCATAGATAAACTACTAAGTATTTCTTGGCATTATTCTTGACACAAGAAATACTTGGAAAATGACTTTTCACCATTGGCAAAAGTTATTGGGAACATTAAAAGAATCCTAAGAGCAATGCTTATATTAAAGTTTAAGTCAATGATGAGCTGTAGAACTTCCTGAAGAGTAAGTTGTTTAGGGAGGATAGTACAAAGAACAGATTGTTCATCTGAAGATCCATTTCATCCATATCTGATGAATTAGAAATTTTTATCAGTTTATTTTTGGCAATTTCTTTCAATCCATGGATGTCATAAAGAAATGAAAAAAATTTGTGATGTTCACTAGTGTATGAAAAATGCAAATCAAATGCATTTATAATGTAATCTGTAGTGTAGAAAAAAATCAATTTTATATTTTTCTTAAGGATCTACTACAGGCTTGTTACAGCTTTCATTATCAAATTGCTTCTTTTCAAATCTTGGCTAATTCCTAGTAGAGGTAATAAAACTTTTAACAATATCAGTTTCATTGGCCACCATCTAATATGTTAAACCATTACATGTTTTAAAGGGAAAGAAAAGTGCAAAGTTGATGATGTAAAAATGCATATAAAAATACAAATTTTCAATAGGAACAAATCCTATGAAACTTTAAATTATAATCTGTTTTTAAATTATCACTGATTTGATTAATTGAAATGTGTAGAAGACGTGGTTGCTGTATCTTCAAATTCTGTGTGTAGCGTCTTTGTAATTCAAACGTTAATTTTGGTAGACGATCAAACAGCAATTAGTTAGGAAAACGTTACGGTTTATTTAAAAGAACACTTTTTAAAAAAATTCAGATGCATTTCAGGTTGGCTTGTATTCCCAACTCCTCTTCAGTGCTGTTAAAATTACAAAAACAAGGTGAGTTTACCCTTTACTTTTTCATATTATAGGAAATAGTCATACAATTATGTAATAAAAATATTGCCACACATGTCTATACTGTACCATTATATAACATGTAAGGTTTTTATGTTATTGTCAACCTGCGTTTATGTTAAATCCCACTTACCAATGTCGTGAAACTCATCTTGTTTTTGTAATTTTAACAGCACTGAAGAGGGGTTGGGAATACAAGCCAACCCAAAATGCATCTGAATTTTTTAAAAAAGTGTTCTTTTAAATAAACTGTAACGTTTTCTTAACTAATTGCTGTTTGATTGTCTACCAAAATTAACGTTTGTATTACAAAGACGCTACACACAGTAATTGAAATGTATTTATCATTATTATTTGTTCAGTTTGATAGAATTGTGTGTGCAGTCTAAGATAATTGAATAATATTCTGATTAATATTTTCAGATATTATGTTTATTAACTCATTTTTAATGTTTTTGCTGAAGTTGCTTTATTTTTCTCCTCCTCCAGAATCCTGCATAAATGTCCTTATATAACAGGATGAAATTCTGCCAAGAGTTGAATAAGTTTTAAAAAATTGCCAATATTATGTTTGTAAAGATTGTCTATTTTACCTTCTTTTTAACTTTTCCTAACATTTTGATAATAGAAACAATGCGTAACAAACTGCATTCCATTGATTTACTTCAGAATTAATGAGTCTTTGAGATTCTACTGAAAACTTCTGTGATAATGGATGTAGACACTTATTACCAGAGAAGTTTTCAGTTTGTCCATTATTTCAAACCATGATTTCTTTTTAGAATTAAGTGATGTTTTGAAGTTTTATGAGAATGCAAAATACTGTTAACACGTTGCCAATTATGTTAGCTATCTTTACTTAGGCTAGAAGAAAAGTTAAACATTTTATTTTCAAAACAGTAAAATAACTGATTATCTGAAATTAAGAATGTTTTGTTATTTTAATTTTCTTCAGCCAACTTTGCTTCTTCCCTAACAATCTGCCTCCTTGGGCAGTCACCCACCTTTCCCACCCCTGTATACTGTAGTGATCTGTCACTCAGATTAATTTTTTTTTGTGTGTGTTTCGCCTGCTCCGTTTGTACCCGGG